AACTCATTAGTTAACAGAGCCAAATATCAACAGTACAACTATTGAAATTTCTTTTGAGAGCCAAATTTTTTAATCTTAAACTTCTTCTAATGCCACTTCTTCAAAATACACGAGCCCAGGCCATGGTATTTTGTGAAAGAACCACACTCAAGGGGCCAAAGAGCCACATGTGGCTCTCGAGCTGCAGTTTGCCCGCCACAGGGCTTAGCCTGTCCAAAAGCACATATTTTTGTTTTCTATCTGTGCCCTGGTAGTAAAGCTCAAACTTATTTTGGGTTTGCTGATTACCATACTTCCAAGAAGATATCAGTGCAAAGATATCTGTACTGTGTTTATATCTCAAGAATTATTTGAAGGTAGATTAGGCAGCTGTGCCTCTTGACCTTATAGTGTTACACTAAGAAAGGTGACTAACACTTCCTTGAAAGTCTCTTCTCTTTTAATAACCCATTTAATTCCTTCAACATATGTTAGAGGTTATGGAATTGACTAGATTGCACTATTAAGTATTGATCCCACAATGCTTTGCATGTGGTAGGCACACTGAAAGATCACTCATGGTGAACAGAAAGTGACTCTCATTTGCAGTAAACGGTTAACAACCAGTTCTCCAAAGAAAAAATACCTGCTCTGCAGTATTTGTTGATTTCCATAGTGCAATATTAAGAACAACTTTATAAATTCAAACACTTAGATGAAATGGAGACATTCCACAAAGTGAAACTCAAGAAAAAAGAAAAAAAACCTAGAAATTCTATATCTATTAAAGAACTTGAATTCACATTTAAATCCCACAAGAAAACCTACAAATCCAGATATCTCCACTAGAAAAGCATATCAAATAGATAATGAAGAAATCGTGCACAAAATTCTTTAGAAAATAGAGAACACTTCCCAAATTATCTTTTGAGGCCAGCATTGTCCTGTTACCAAAATTAGAAAAAGACAGCATGAGAAAAGAAAACTAACTCTAGATCAATAAAGATGGAAAACAAATCTTAACAAAATATCAGCAAGTTGAATCCAGTTATATCTAAAAATTATAATACATAATTACTAAGAATTAAAAGTTGGCTTAACATTAAAAATCAATCATTGTAATTTATCATATTAACAGAATAAAGGAGAAAAACTACATTATTACTTTAAAATACACAGCAAAGATATCTGAAAACAAACCAGCACTCATTAATTACAGACATAAATTAACAATAGAAGAGATATTCCTCAACTTGATAAAAGGCATGTAAGAAAAACCTGCAGCTAAGGTGAAATTTAAATTTAAATGTTGAAAATGACAAGTGCTGGAGAGGATACAGGAAAAAGAACCCTAGTTCACTGCTGGTGGGAATGAAGACTGGTGCAGCCACTGTGGAGAACAGTATTGAACGTCCTCAAAAAACTAAAAATGGAATTCCCATTTGATCTACTGATCCCACTTCTAGGAATATATCCCAAGAAACTAGAAACACCAATCAGAAAGGATATATGCACACCTATGTTCATAGCAGCACAATTCACCATAGCTAAGATTTAGAAACAGCCCAAGTGCCCATCAGCAGATGAGTGAATTAAAAAACAGTGGTACATCTACACAATAGAATACTATGCTGCAGTAAAAAAGGAGTTCTTTCCATTTGCAACAGCATGGAAATGGAGAGCATTATGCTAAGCGAAATAAGCCAGAGAAAGATAAATATCACATGATCTTACTCATTTATGGGATATAATCATCAATATAAACTGATGAATAAAAACAGATCCAGAGACAGAGAAACATCAGTCAGACCGTCAAACCTAAGAGGGAAGGTAGGGGAGGGTGGGAGTAAAGGGGAGAGATCAACCAAAAGACTTGTATGCATGCATATAAGCCTAACCAGTGGACACAGACAGCAAGAGGATGAGGGAATGGTGGGGAGGATGGGGGCAGGGGGAGGTAATGGAATAAAGACATATATGTAACACCTTAATCAATAAAGAAATTTTTTTAAAAGAAAAAAAATTAATTGTTGAAAGACTTACCTAACACTTTCCCTAAGATAAGGAAGGAGGCAAGCATGCTCATTCTTAATCACATCTAATGAACATTTTGCTGAAGGTCATAGGTTGTGCAATAAGAAAAGAAAAGAAAAGATAATAAAAGGCATATAACTTATAAAGGAAGAAGAAAAACTGTCTATATTTGCAGATCACACACATATAAAAATCTAAAACACTTTAAAAAATTCTCAAACTACTAAGTGAATTGAACAAATGTCAACATACAAAAATTGTTTATATTCCTATATACTGGCAACAAAGAATATAAAAGAAATTTAATACTATCTAAAATAGCATAAAAAATCAAATGCTTAGTCATAGATTTAACAAAATATGTGCAAGATCTATATATACTGAAGACTACAAACATTGAGAAATTAAAGATCTAAATAAATGGAGATATAAATTATGTTCATGGGCTAAAGACTTAATATTGTTAAGATGTCATTTCTTCACAAGCTGAATATATTGATTCAATGGTGATAATCAGAACTCTAGCAGGATATTTTTATATAAATTACTTCGCTGAGATTCTAAAATTTAGTAGGAAATGCAAAGGACTTAAAATAGCCAAAGCAATTTTGGAAAGAACAGAGAAAGAATCCTAAAATGACCCCAAGATTCCACTCCCCCTCCTATTCCTGCTGAGAGGCCAGTATAAATCCTTCTCCTTGAGTGTGGGAGGGTCCTGTGAATATGATGGGATTTCACTTTCATGATTAGGTTTCATTATATTGCAAAGATAAGAGGTTTTCCACCTGTAGCTCCATCTAGGACTGAAATGGCTTCATGCCTGTGTGGATCCCAATGTAAAACTTTTGTTCTCCCCCTCCAGAAACAAATGCCTCTTAACCATCTCTCAGGTCAGAGGATACATTTCACAATCAACTCCTGCGGTCAGACCTAGGACAGAGGCCACACAGGCTCCGAGGCATACTGGTGTCTCTGGGAATTCCAGGGTCATGGTTTCCTGAAGAGGAGAGGTGCAGGTTCTAGCTAGACAAGCCACTCAGTCATGGGATCGCCTCACTCCATGGTAAGAAAGGAGGCTCAAGGTGGCTAGAGCAGGGCCTTCCAAAGCAGAACATTTCAAACTCTGATATGCATATAAAAGACCGCGGGCTCTTACTGAAATGCAGGATCAAAACACATCAGGATGGGAAGTGGTATTCTGCACATCTAACAAGCTCTCAGGTGCTGCTGATCCATGGACCCCACTTTGTTAGCAAGGCTGTAGCTTGTAGGTCTGCAGGCAGGTGGCACTGATAGCTACCATATTTGAAGTCTGTAGTGGAATGAATAAATTAAAATTGTGGATAATTCAAAAATTATGTATTATACTTGTAACAACCCTAATGATAAGAACAGATTTTTTTTTCTTTTGTCATCTTGTACACTTATCAACTGAGTGAAAATAGTTCACCCAAAAGCAGGTAAATAACTGGGACCCCACTCATATTAAAATTATGTGTATAATCTGCTGGGACCGGTTTGGCTCAGTGGATAGAGCATTGGCCTGAGGACAGAAAGGTCCCGGGTTCGATTTCGGTCAAGGGCATGTACCTTGGTTGTGGGCACATCTCCAGTAGGGGGTGGCAGGAGGCAGCCGATCGATGATGATTCTCTCTCATCGATATTTCTAACTCTCTATTCCTCTCTCTTCCTCTCTGTGAAAAATCAATAAAATATATATTTAAAAAATTACATAAAATTATGTGTATAATCTACATTTATATTATAATTATCATTCAGTATGTTTTATGAAAGAATGAATGTTCATAATATCCTAGGTTTTAAGGGTGGTTATTTTTCAGGCAAGCTAATCCATGTAGTAATTGAAATACTTGGAATAGAAATTTGGAACCCATCTGATTACTAGCCTTGAGCTATAATCACCAGGGGTTTTATAAAACTTGGCATTAAAATATTTATTACTTTTATTAATAAAATGTGGGGACATGGATGACATAAGAAATGAGATGTAAATTGTTTCTGTTGAATATTCATGCTGCATTTTATCATTCTCTAGTATTTATTGGTTGAGACATAACTCTACAGAAACTTTAATCAATCCTCCCTCTGACATCAAAAACTACATTTATTGACTATGTACAAAGCATCCACTTTTTCTTTTAAATTCTGTGCTGAAAGTTAAGACCTTGGGCCTTTCTTTTCTCTATTGTATCTGAACTTATTCTCCCATCATTAGTTTGAAGAGAAAATGATAATAAGTTGAATACTCTACTCTCTTTTGATGATTATGTTGCTGATGGGTCAAAACCCACCTCTAGGACCCAGATGAACTTACAAGAGAATTAGGAATCTTCCTTTGCCCTCCATACGATCTACTTCTCAGAGCTGCCAAAGCCCCTGTTTAGGGCACATAAATTAATACATTTGCTTGCAATGTGACTTTGGGACATTTTATAGCAGCGATTCTAAAGTAGTTAGTGGTGAAATAGAAACTTGAGAATGCGAAGATTAATTTAAACCACATGATGAGTTCAAGGAAAAGGGACATCCACTACAGATTCTTGAATGTGTGCTAACTCTGTAGAGTGGCGAATGGGATTCAAAACCACCAGTGAACTTTTAAACCCTCTTGAGAGGAATCAAACCAACCCAATTAGCCCTGGGAGGGAGCTATTGCAGACAACAGACAAACCATTTCTCTCCCTTTTAGAGAGATTCCTCTGCCTGAAAAAAAAAAAAAAAGAAAAAGAAGAAAAAAAAAACAAAAACACACACAATTGAGAGATCAGGGAAAGAGGAAGGCCTCCAGCCATTACCACTAATGGTGTGAAGTTAGAACTGTCTTTCTGGTCATTAGCTGGTTTACTGATTTGTCTTTCATTATAGATTACAAATAATGTTGGGTTCTTTAAACAATAGTTAATTAACGAATTGTATGTTGTGGATAATTAGTGAATTTGAAATAAAGGATTTCTTTTCCCTTCTAGTTTGTTGTAGTGGTGTTCTGGATCATTTATGCCTATGACAGAGAGATGATTTACCCGAAGTTGCTTGATAATTTTATCCCAGGGTGGCTGAACCACGGAATGGTGAGTCAACTAAAACAAATGATAACTTTATTTTTTTTTAAATCTATTAAGTGCTATACTCTGGTTTCTCTTCAGATCGTATAAATCTTTCACCTTTTACTATTAAGTGCTAATTTAGGCTTTCCATAGACTCTCTAAATAGCTTTGAAATGTTGTAAGATTATGATGCAATTATGACTACAGAAGAATACTGAGTTTAAATAAAATAATGTCTTCCCATGAAATTGAGTCACTACTAAAACTATGCAGTACATGAATCCACAGTTTATAAGAGGCACTGTTGGTGTTGGATAATACAACTAGCTTAATCTGGGATGAATTCGCACCATTGAAAGGCTCGTCCACTCTTGGAGCCTGAGAATCAATTCCCACCTGCACAACTACTGACACTCTGCTCCTCCTCCACTCACATCAGTGGGATTGTTCTGGAAGTAACTGCATATTGTGCTGGAGAATTTCTCCTGGAGGAGCAACAGGGCTATTCTGTTTTCTGGGAGATGGCATTGGAGGTGTCCTTAGAAGTGACTGCCTTGTCAGGTCTGCCCATCCCAGGGTATTTGCCTGCAGCTGCTGGGTTTTTTCCTTCTCCTTGGTCTAATTCTTTCTGATGCTTTAGCCATTGTGTTACCTTCCCAAGTTTCAAATCAAATACTTTGGATGGTTTACACATTACTTTACAAGATTTGAAGAGATACTGTCTGCAAAGAAACATTCCCTTTCTGCTTTGGAATTAAGCACAATTTTGGTAGTAACTAAGAAGCCTGCATTTTTTTTGTTTGTTTTGTTGGGGTTTTTTTGTTTGTTTTTGTTACTGCAATTTTTAGACTATCTCTGGGTGCTTCTGGAGAAAAGGGCAACCCATCACAGAAATTATAGGGGAGCGAAGAGCTAGTGTCAAGTCCAAAATAATAGTTTGCTCCCTGCCCCAATTTTGATGTGGTTTAAGAAAAGTGGTGTGTACTAACAAATAAATATTATGCTGAATGGCTTTGATCAATCCTTTTGTAAGCCTCTTTGTCAAAAGTGGCACATCTCAGAAAACTATTTCAATAGAAGTTTATTTGAACCCAACAGAGCACACTGATGAAAGATTAATGTGGCACCTTTAGTCTAATTCCCAAGAAATCAGCTAGGTCTTACTGCTTCACTTTAGCCATCTAAGGGGCCTGACTTGCTTACTCCGCCCCTCTTTACCTAACTTTCTACTTTTCTCGATTGTGAAAGCTCTTTCATGACTCCATGTCTTTGCAATCCTCTGTCCCATATGCTCTTCCCATTTTCTGCTGGGAAACTGCTCACCCTGCTAGCTTAGATAACATCTCTAAGAAGTCTTGCCTCAGTCTCCTAAATCAAGTTAGCTCTTCTGTCATTGGTGCTTGCACAGCACCTTCATATCTCTACTTCACACTTCTGATCCCCCCACAAAAATGCTATACTCCCAAGACAAAACAGCAGCCTTTAAATCCCAAGCACTCTGCCCAACTCCTGGCTTACTGTAGGATCAATACATATTTGTTAGATTGATGAATGAATTCAGTATTGCCAGTTTCTATAATTCTGTGCCATTTGATACTACTAGCTATTATTTTTGAGAATTTACTGTGTGCCAAGCATTCTATAGTGGTTATATCACTTAATTTTCACACGGGTACTATGAATGAGGAAGTATTATCCTTTTACAGATGAAGACACTTAAGCTCAGAAAGTTTCTGATACTGGAAGGGCATTAGCTGAGAACTATTGGTGTATCATGCGCTTAGAATATAGTCCTTGACTATTTGGGTCCCTCAATTGAACCATATTACCTTTGGGCCATAGAATGAATCACCTCCTTTGCAGATCTTGGCACTATTTAATGTTTCTAAAGAATGGTTTATTGAGCAGGTAGGCAGCCATTAGAACTTCAATTTGAGTCTCTTCATTTTCCCTTGATTCACTTGGATGGGTTAAAATTCTTACTCATGAAGGCAAACACTGCATGAAAATGCAAGGAGAATTTCAGTGCCACAAATATTTAGGAAAAGGATAAGATAAATTTATTAGCATATCAAATCCTCAGATAATATGAGCTCAATAGACTCTTTTACAATGAATTTTGTGTCTTAGTAGAGAAAAATTGCCCTTTCTTTGACTTTTTTTCATGTTTCAATTCATGGTTGTAGAGATACAGACAACCAAGTTGCATATGGTAGCTGAGGAATATTTTGTAGTATTAAATAATTTACATTACTCTAAATTTGTATATATGAAAATTTAAATACAATATGGCTAAAACATGCTATTTTAAATTGACAATTAAAATACGAATATTAAATACTAGAATCATGAATAATTACATTTTTATAAAATGTGTAATAAGATTTATGAAATTTCAAAAAATTAAGTAAACATTTTTAGCTTTTTAAATTTTTATTTTAAAATGTAATAAGTAATTATAGTTTGTACTTGCTTTTAATTTTAATAGACATTTTGAATATTTAATTTAAAAATAATTCAATTAAAAATTTACATTTATTTTTAATTTCATATTTTGATGAAAACATTTAAATTGTGCACACTTTGATTATAATTGCATTTCAAGTTTAATTAATGTTAGATTTAGCTTAGAGTAATACTATCAGTAGGGCTCAAATTTTGTAAAAATTTCCTTTATAACAACAAATTTCATGAATTTATTGAAATGAAGACAAGAAAATAAAATTTTAAAATATTTATACTTATATTACAATAAGTATTTTATATTCATATTTGTCATTTATTTTGATTTGCCTTTATTTTGTTACTCATCTAATCACATATTTCCTATTTTGTTGTATGAAAGGTAGGATTATAAAACATATTTTTTTTAACAATTTACTAGCTTAATTTGTAACTTCTAGATATTTCTGCAAATGGTTTATGGCCCACAAGGCCTATTTGCTGTTGCCTGTTTATATTTTTGTAACTACAGGAATTCCTAGAGAGAATGCAGCCTATACTTATTATGTGTAGGTCACATTCATTGTTTGCAGAGGCTCAACATAATTTCCAGGGATCTGAAGCCCTGAACCATAGAACTCAGATGCAGTTTATAAGCCCATCATGTCACCATTTCAGAAGACATTATTAAGTCAGTCTGAAATTTACAGCATTTAAACTTCCCAGCACAAGCTTAGCCAGAAATGAACATAAGGGGAAACTCACAGAATCTGAAATTCACAGGGGTTTCATTTTGATATGCACTAAAGTTGCCAGAAGTTAGACATGATTATAACGAAAGGCAAGTATTCTATCATTTCCTTCGGCTCTCTGCCTATTTTTTCTCAGCGAGTAATCCTAGATTTGCAGAAGAGAAGAGGAAATGGGTAAATAGGTGAGTTAGAAAACTATTACACCATTGGTGTGTAACCACTAAATTATCTCCAGATTCCATGAAAATAACACCAAAAAGAATTTCAATTTATTACAATTAAAATATAAATATGACAAATTTAAATGGAGTCAGTTCAGTGTCCAAAATAAAATTTTTAAAAAAATCTATCCTGGAAGCATTAATTATCTTTGTATTCCCAGCAATTCAAAAAACAAACAAACATGATGTCCATAAAGTGTTAACAATGAAGATGTTTGTTGTGCACTTGCTTTTGAAATTTGGAAGAATGTCAGGTTTACATTTATATCCTTCTACCACCTTTCTATCCTCAGTCTACTGATGATCAGACACTAGAAAAATATAGATGGTATCAGCAAATGACTCAGTTTCTAAATTGTAATGAAATGGTCATGGACAGTTGTGTGAAGGTTCTGCAATTGGGGCTATGAAGGAGGGTCTGCACTCCCCCACCCCTCAGTTATTTATTGAATACCTGTGCTATGCAATGCATCCTGCTGTGCTTCGGGTGGTTACAGGATGAGAAAAACACTTGCCCTTTTAGAGGATGGCACATGTGAAATAGAGGAAGGTAAGTTGGAAAGCAGGCTGCATTCACTCTGACAAGGAGAAGCAGTAACTTTTGTTCTGGTTTGTTGCAAAAATAGAGCCCTGAACCTTTCTCTTCTGCTGATTAGTTTTACAGCATTGCCCATGGAGGAAATATACATTAAAAGCAATAAGTAAATAAATATTTAAACTCCAGTATGATTGCAGACTCTCACTAATGCTGTAACAGGAAAACAACAACAATGAGACAGTGTCTCTGCTAACCAAAGACCTAATTAATGTTTATGAAGTGCTTTGAGATTGCTAAGCACTGTGGAAGGTTAGGATATTATTATTATTACCACAGATCTTTCTGCAGACATGACCTAGATATTCTTATAATCACAGCAGGAGTTGTTTATTCCCCATATACTTTATAAGGAGAGAAAAAAATGCACCCCACCTCTCTTCATGCTTGATTTGTCAGTTGTTCTTATATGTAACTGATCCTCAAGAGAACCTTAATTTAGGCAACTATTTATTCTGTTCAGTATTATTTTGACATTTGGTAATTACTAAAGTTTTTGTACATCTATCTTTCCCAGAAGAAAAAGCATTAAATGCTGCTTGTATGATTATTGGTTTTGCAAGAGAACTCGGCTTTGACATTATTCTTTTGGTAAATTTCCAGTTCAGGGATACGCAGGTTATGCATTTCAGTTCCATAGAGCCTGTACCACTCTGATATTTTACAAAAGAAGCTGTTGGTTGAGAGAAGACCATTGTAAACATTCCGAATGAAAAAACTGACCTTTCTCACTTTTCCCAATATATTCTAAAGTAGCTAGAAGATATCTGGAAATTTTTAAAAATAAAAGTACAGACTGGAACAGAGGTCAGAACTTTCTTGGGAACCTCTTTCTAAGACTCCCAGTGGACTCCCAAAGAAAACAAATAAGACCCCAAGACTGAGGACAAAGGAGAGTAATGTTCACAGTGAAGCAGACACTTTCAGCAATAATGCACACTGTTCTCGGGTATAAGGTTTTTTTTCATATTTAATTTTACTGATCATAGCTTCTTCCATGGCAAATTTTTACTT